GCAGCCCTTTAAACAGCTCAATCAGCCTGAAATGTCATGTTTTAGGTTGGCCTTCAGCCCTTCATTGGCTTGGGGTATTTCTGCTTTTCATTAAAGGAAATATGTAATAAACAGGAAAAAAAAAAGCGCCCCAAATGTGACATTTAGAAACGGGAAATTAAATACTTTGACTTTTACAACAATTAGTGCGAAGAATTAAAGTAAACCAAACTAAATTGGTGAAGAATTTCTGAGTCACCGAACCTTTTAATTTTCGTCAAAAACAAACCCGACCCGGATTCCGTGTGAGGGTTCTGCAGGATGATCCCCGGGACCCAGCCCTGGGTGTCACCCGTGCTGAGCCGGGCTCTGTGCTCTGTCCTTGCAGTGTGCAACGTCCTGTACCTCAGCTCGGTGAACGTGGAGACGCTGACGGGAGCCCCGGCCATCCTGAAAGGCATCTCCTGCACCCTGGAGCTGGAGCCGCTGCCCACGCCCACCCTGGTGCACTTCAGGGTGACGGAGCAGGGCATCACCCTGACCGACATCCAGAGGAAGTAAGAGCCCAGGGATGGGCTGCGGGGGTGGCCGAGGGGGGGTCATGGAGAGGCAGCTCCCCAGTGCCCACCCAGCCCCCTCCTTGCCTCCCAGCCTCAGGAAAAGCTGCCCTGCTTGGACAAACCCACGTCACGATCCAGGGATGGACCTGGCCCCTTGTTACAGCGCAGGGCTGTGCGTGGCAGCACCTCAGGGGTGGGATGCAGGAGGCAGCTGGACCCGGGGTTGGGATTCTGGGATGCCATTTGGGACCCCCATTCCCCAGCAGCCGTGACAGGGCTTGGATCTGCATAATCCTGTTCCTGCCTGGGCCCTTCCCTCTCATAACCCTTCCCTCTCCTCTTCCAGGCTGTTTTTCAGGAGACACTACCCCTTGGCTGCCATCAGGTTCTGCGGGATGGACCCTGAGAACAGAAAGTGAGTTTTGGGCGGCCGCGCCGGTCGGAGCCGCCTCCTGTGCTCCCTTCCCTGCCGTTCCCAGCACTTCTGCGCTGCTTCAAATCCCAAAAAACTGCCCTGGGCGTAACACGCCAGGGTGGATCTAAACATAACCCTTGGCTTTGCAGCTGATGGGATGAATTAAACATCAGCCTTTGAGCAACTCCAATTCTGTTCTTCCCTCAGGTGGCAGAAGTACTCCAAGTCCTCCAGGTAAGACCTGCACAGGGACCTCCTGCACAGAGCCAGGGGCTGGAATCTGGGGGGAATGATGCTGCTTTGGGAAGCAGTTGCATTGCAGAACATCAAAGAATCAGCTTAAAAATGAAGAGAGGATTCAATAGAAGTTACCGTGGTGGCCGGGTGAGGGGTGGGACTGGTGGGTAAAGTTTTAGGGCGGGTTTACTCTGTAGGTTTGGGCAAGAGGTTTGGCTGAGTCCCGTTCTCCACATCCCCTTGTGCAGAACCCCCCATCCAAATCCCACAGCCTTTCCAGGGACTCACACTGGGCTCAGGAAGGGAGTTTATATCTGGCTCTACCTTGTGCTCAAGAATCTTTTCACGGCTGGGTAAGCCTTGCCAGAAACGCTCCTCCCGGCTGCTTGGCTTCCAAGGAAACGTGATTGGGGAGCGGGCCAAGGTGGAATTGTTGGAACTGGGATTTGGCTTTGTGGCCGGGGCTGGTTTCAGCGTATTCCTTCAGATTCCTGGATGCAAACTGAATAAGCCTCTCTCCTTTTTTCAAAGAATCTTTGGGTTCGTGGCCAAAAGCCAGACAGACTCGGGGAACCTCTGTCACCTGTTTGCAGAGTACGACACGGTGCAGCCGGCGTCGCTCGTCATCGACCTGCTCCGCCAGCTCCTGCTCGGCCCCTAGGGATGGGACCTTTGGATGCCCAGGGCTGGCAGCTACCCACACACTGCCGAGCTTCTCCTGCTCCTCTGCTCCTGCTTCTGAGTTGCACTTTTGGCAACAGCTCGTATTTATACTCTTTTTGTTATGTACCATCATGTCAGAAGTCTCAGTTAGAGATTTTCAACTCTGGTGGGATGAGATGCCCACGGGGAGCTGTGCTGGTCTGGGACAGAGCGGTGGGATGGGAGCTGTGCTCCCTATGGAACCACAGCCCCTCACCTGGCACCCTGTCTGCTTTGCAGGGCCCCAGTGTTCTGGCTGAGGTTCCTACCAGCCACGAGGGACCCCTGTGCTTGGGGCATCCAGGCTGAGGCAGGTCATGGAGCTGAGCTGAGCTCCCACCATTAGGAACTCGGCCCTGACCCCCCAGTGCCACAGGAGGGGAGGTCTGGGTCAGGCAGGGGGGACTCACCCCCCGAGTAGTACCAGAAGGCAGCTTTGCAAATCAAACTGTATAAAAATCACCCAGTCCTGCTGGAAACCTGCTTCCCTGAAGGAGCAAGAGGCATCCGCAGGCAGGAATGTCAGAGCAGCGCATTTTTCCCTGTGCTGGGAAATTCTCCTGCCCTTTTTCGCAGAGCGGGGTTACGGGCGGGCTCGACCTCCCGGCACCGCGGAGAGCTGGGAAATAAACGGTGACATTTTCATGACAGTGAAACATCGGGTTTTTGGAAATGACTTGCCTGAATTTGGGCCAGCTCCTCGGATGACGTGCGTTGGCGCGGCCCCGAGGAAGCCGATGCCGCCGTGATCTGCAGCAGCTGAAGAGTCGGCTCCGCTGCAGCTCGGAGCAGAGAGCGGCTCCGAGGCCACCACGCTGCCACCTTCCATAGGTGTCGCTTACCTGGGGCCTCTGCACTGGTTTTGATTTCAGGCCCTGTGTTATAAACCCACATAGGGGTATTTCCAATAAAGCAGTGGAGCGTTTATCCTGCACAGGCACCGCAGGGACGTCAGCAATGGAGACACTCGCTCTGCTCTGGAACAGCCAAGCAGATGCATCCATGGCAGAGGGTCCCTCTCCTCCAGCCAGGCTGTGGAGTGGGTCCAGCTGGAGCAGCTTTTGGCAATGACCAAAACAGATATCAGGGTCACTGCAGGGGGAGCACATGGGGCCCTGGAGTTCTGGGAGGAGACCTGAACAGCTTTGTGCCCCCCAGACCCTTTGCCCCAAGCTCTGCTCAGCCAGAACCCAGCCCTCTGGGGTGGGCTCGGGAAGCAGTCCCAGGGATCCTTGTGTTTCTGCCACCTCCACTGTGCTGCAGGGACACAGCACAATGTGGCACCCCAAGGTCATGGGCAGCTCAAGCTGCAGGATCCCAGCCCTGGGACCTCAGGGCAGGTCCGGGACCCCCAGGGCTGGACTCTTGCGGTTATCACGATGCTGGTCAGGATCATACAATGAGAATGGGAACAGGCAAAGTTTGAGAGGGTCGCGCTGCCCCCCCTGACCCCGGCCAGCCCTGGCAGTCACCGGCACAGGGCCGGGGCGCGGGGCCGGGCTCCAGGAGCGCTGGCGTCGGCCCTGGTCCGGCGGCCGATGTGCTGTGCCAGCAGATTTTTGGGCTGCCTGTGTTGGCTGCGGCCGCCTCTGGCCCCGTCCCGGGGGTGTTTGCACAACCCCAGCACCGCGCAGCTCCGGTAACCGGAGCATCGGGCTGGCGCCAGCCCCGGGTGGCACTGCCGGCCCCGGGAGCCACCAGGCAGGGACCCGGCGTACTCCTGTGCCGTACTCCTGTGCCGTCAGCACCGGCTGCAGACGCCGGCAGACAGCCGAGCTGCTGTCGGGGGTGCCAGGAGCAGCGGGAGGGGTGCGGCTGCTGCGTCTCCCAGCTGCATCCCGGCACCCTCCCAAAGCGCCGAGCGGAGCCGGTGGTGCCCGGTGCACTCCGGCACCTGGGCATGAGCTGCAGGCTGCGGCTCGTCAAGGCCGGCGGGACCGCCTGGCCTCGAGCCCGTGTCCCTGGAGCAGCCGGTGCCCGTCCCTGTCCGGCCCTGAACTTTGAAGCCCGTCCAGGGTCCCCTCCCAGCCTGGCGCCGTCTCCGGCCCCGCCGCTGCTCCGTGTCGCTGTGTGGGGCTGACGGTGACAATCCTCCCGGTGGCACTGGTGGAGGCTGAGCTGGGAGTCACGGGGAGGCAAGAAACCATTTGCTTCTCTGCTCGTGAAGCTCTTCCAGAGGCTTCAGGGCACCTGGGTTTCCAGGGCTGCTGAACCCCAAGCCCAGCGCAGGACCAGGAGAGCAGGTCCTTGGGCAGGGGTGGCGAAAGGAGCCTGTCCCCACACCGGTGGGATCCCACAGACCACTCACTCCTCCCCCGCTCCCATTATTTAAAGCCATAAAAAATAAAACACACTCAATAGAAAAACATCAGATAACAGGAAATTAAATATAGTCATTACCTTTTTTTCTTTTTGAGGATACAAAGGTTCAAGTGTACTGTAAAAGGGTCGGTGCTACACGGGAGTCCAACGGGACGGGCTTGGCCCAGGAGGGACGGACAGGGACCCCTTGGGCACAGGGGGACACACTGGGGATGGGGGACACTGGTACATGGTCGTGTGTAAATACAGCCCTAAACTACGGGAGAGACACTGCGAAACACTGGAGCCCTCCAAGCAGGACACAGAATGCGCCCTGGTGCACTGGCATTCCCAGGAATCCCTGAACTGGGAAAGGCTCTGCTGGATCTGCCCTGGTGTGGGCAGGGAGGGGCCAAGTGGCCAAGACCACTGGGCTGGCACTGCCACCACACCCTGTGCCCTACCATGGGATTGGCACCATGACTGGCCATGGTCCCCAGCAGCACCTCCCGCAGCCTGGGAAACCCATCCTTGGCACAGTGGCACTGGGGGGACTGGGAGAGAAGAGGGGCAGGGACCCCCCCTCCCCACTGAGGACTGTCCTGGCAAATTGACTCCGTTTGGAAGTTGTGTGTGAGCAGGGCCACAGGCAGCCAGGGCAGGCAGGGATCCAGGGAGTGCCAGGGCAAGAAGAGATCCAGCAGGGCACAGGGACAACCAGGGCATCTGGGGGTTGCCAGGGCAGGCAGGGATCTGGCAGGGCACAGGGGCAGGCAGGGATCCGGGGCAGTGCCAGGACAGGCAGGGATTTGGCAGGGCACAGGGGCAGGCAGGGAGGGGGTCAGGAGGGCAGAACGTTTCACTAAAACTGAAACATTTTGTTCCCATCAGGGGGCCTTGGCCAGGGCAAATCTACATGGAAAACCAAAAGCTTCCACTGAGGCCATGGAGCTGGGGTAGGTCAGGAGAGGATCAGGAAAGTCCCCTCCATCTTTGGCACCCTTGCCATGGCATTTTTACATGAAAAATTTCCAGCCCAGCTTAAAGAAAAGAGAAGAAAAAAGAATAGCTACAAAACCAGTGACAATTTCTCAGCTGAGAACTTTGTGCTGGTGAAATCTGCAGATCCCATCATGGAGACATTCCAGAACCCTTCCTGGTTTTGTCATGTTGGCCAAGCAGAGAAGACAGGAGCTACTGCCACAGTCCCCTGGTCCCTGGGGTTGGAGAATTCGAGCCTTGGGGCCACATGGTCACTTTTAAGATCCCACCAATGGTGTTTTTTAAATGATTAAAAAATATTTGGGGAAGAAACTAAAAACTACTCAGACCAAAAGCTCTTCCTGCTGGGATGCATTTCCTGGACCTCCCTTGTCCCCCCCATCCTCCCCTCGGACTCAATGCCTGTGAGGACCATCCTCACCCCAGGGATGGGACAGGGGGAGACAGGATGAGTGGGGGGCTATGTCCCTGCACAGGGAGCAGGATGGGGCTGGGCTGTGGGGATGGGGGGCTGCAGCAGGGAGGGGAAGGTCTCTTATTGCTCTGTGTGGCTGCGCTGCCCATCACACACACACACTTTGGGCAAGATGCAGGCAGGGAGGGCGGGCAGCAGTGGGGGGGGGGGTCTCTCCATGCCCCCTGGTCCTTGCCTAGGCAACCTCTCGCTGCCAGGAGGGGCAGGATGAGGCACTTCTCCTGCTGCCCATGCAGAGGTCTGGCATGCATGGCCTGCCACAGCACCCCACGGTGTCGGGGGCAAGGGTGGAAACCGAGGGGGCACCACGGGGCACCGGCAGCAGCGTCGAGGGTGCTCCCCACCGGGGCAGGCCGACACCAGCCCCCGGGGCAGCACGGTCCAAGCTGTGTCCCTGCGGGATGGAGGGGCCGCTGGCGCGTGCCAGGATCCCCAGCAGTGGTGGGTAGTGGTCATGGCGCAGGTCGTGGGCAGCCCGTGGCGCAGAGCAGCACAGTCCAGAGTGCACCCCGGGGTGCCCCGGCACCAGGGCCCCGCTCGGCACTCACGGCCCCTCTCCTCCTGTCCCTGGCAGCCGCTCGGCGCGGGGCTGCCGCGGTCACGCTCACATGCTGTCCGCCAGCTGGTGACAGTCCAAGTCCCCCTTCAGCTCCAGGAAGCCCGGCAGCTTCACTCCAGTCTTGCGGTCCACGCACCAGCACTTGCCGCGCTGCCCGTCCAGCGCCGGGTGACACTGCGGGGACAGGTTCAGGGAGGGACACCTCAGGCCGGGTGGGCTCTGCCATGCCCTGTCACTGTCTCATCCACCCATTTCCCCCTCCCAGCCTCACCCTGGTCCTACACAGTGCCCCCGCGGCGGGTGAGAGCCCATCCTACCTGCTTGGGGTGGAAGTTGCCGTTGCGGTCGCAGTTGGGGATGGGGATGACGTACAGGTCCTCGTGGGTGCGGGTCTGCGAGGCCGCCAGCCGCTCCAGCGCCCGGTGCAGCTCGCTCTGGCACGAGCCCTGTGCCTGTGGGAAGGAGGGGCTGAGCCGGCTGCGGGGCTGGCATGTGCCCCTGCCCCAGCGCCCCGGGATCCCTCTCCACCCTGCCCTCCCCAGCCCTGCCCGTGCTCACTATGGGCCGCGTGTCCTCGCGGTGGTGAGGGCTCCCGCTGCTGCGCATCTTGTTGCCGTTGTTGACCCTCTTCGCCTGCTGCTTCTGCAAGCACTTGCGGTCATGGATGCTGCAGGGGCTGAAGCTGTTGTTGGGGTGGTCGATCTCCTCCTTCTCTGCAGGAAGACAGACCGAGGGGGCTCAGTGCCACTGGCACCCTCAGCAACAACAAGCAGTTGGTGCTGCCAGACCCCACATCACCCTCTCCAGTCCCCAGAGGTGTCACCCTGGGCCCTGGGTCCCCTTCTGCCCCTGCCTCTGCACAAGTCTGAGCTCCCTGCAGCACTGGGAAAGACTCCTGGGAGTTTTTCCAACTCATTAGCCATGATTAACAACTTATTGCCATGTGTCTGTTATTGTAGGGTTGCAAATGCACACTGTGAGTGCTGGGCAGTGGCTCCAATGTGCTGGGTCTGGCTGTGTCCCTGCCAGCCACGTGCCACCAGGCACCGGGTGCTCGCCCACAGCACTGGAGCCGTGGGGCTGGAAGGTGACCCTGGGCACACAGCCAGGGGGCCACAGGAAGCCCCCCTGTGCCCCCAAAAAGCTGCCTTTGAGGAGCTGCAGCGAGAATGGGGCACTGGGGTGATGCTGAGCCCCCGCCAGGCCCGGGGCGTTACCGGGCGCCGCGGCCGGGAGTGGAGCCGTGCTCTGCCGCGGGGCACGGCCCCCGCCAAGACATGAAAGAAGAAATTCCTGGAATAAGAAAGTTAATCTCCCACGGGGCTGATCCCGAAAGGCGGCGCTTGGCATCCCCCCCTGCGCCAGGAGCGCAGCCAAGCTGCCGGCCCAGATGTTGGCAGCTGGACGGAGCGTCATGAGACGAGTGCTCGGCGTGACTTAACTTTCAGAAAGCTGCCGGTTCCTCCAACCTGGGGCCCGTTTACACTCTGTGGAGGGAGGACACCCCAGGAGCTCAGCCCCACCTGTGCTCAGAGCTGTGTCAGGCACAGCCCAAGCAGAGTTTTGTCCCCCAACCCATCTGGGCTGTCCAGGGAAGCAGCCAGGGCTCCCTGCCTGAGGTTATCCTGGGGTTGGGCTTAAATGAGTCAGTATTGTGACTGGCAGCAGGGAAAACCTTCCCAAACCAGGCAGGGAGGAGTCACCATCAGAGGTGGCACCCAGGGGCTCCCTGCACCAGGACAGGGGCTGCCAGGTGATGGCCAGCACTGGCCCTTCCCACAGGCTGGCAGTGGGGTCAGAGCCACAGCCTCCTGCACACCACATCCTCCCAGGCTCCATGCTCTGGTCTCCCTTTGGCACCTCATGCCGTGGCTCCTGCAGCTCAGGGCTCCTGGCCCAGCTCCTGGGGGCCTGGTTAAAGTCCACAGCAAAGCCCCAACCAAAGCCCCCTCCCTCGTGGGTGTTATTTGCTTTTTGCTTAATCTGTCCACTTTTTCCAGGAAATGGCTCATGCCCTTGAAATTTGAAACACGAACCCAAAGAGACCCAAAGGACCCTGCACAGAGCAGTGCCAGCGCCAGCTCTGACGGCACCAGCCACAGGGCTGTGGTGCAATGCTGGTGGCAGCGCCCGGCCGGGGGCGCGGGGGCTCAGGCAGGGACGTTCCTTCCTTCCTCTGCATTTCCATGGGGACACACAAGGAAGAGCTGGGCAGAAGATTTGGCACCGGTGGGGACCACTGTGCTGAATTCCTTGCACCTCCACACTCTTCTCTCACACTGTGGAAAGGCAGGACAGGGAGGCACCGGCACTGCCCGCTCTTCTCCCGCAGGGGAAGCCCTCACCGATCCCAGCACAGCCAAACCCCCCTCCTTCCCCCGCCAGACGCCTCCAGAGCATCAAATCTCCCGGCTTAAATAAAACCAGATGCCAATAACATTTTCATAAGGTCACATGAAAATCCGGTGCCTCCAGGCTGTGAGACGGCTCCTGCCAGCGCTCGGGACCCGCAGTCCCCGGCTCGCATGCTCCAGCATCCCTCCCTGCCACAGGGATCTCTGCTGTCCTTGGGGTGACTGTCCCTTGCTAAGTGACACACAGCAGCTCAGGGAACCTCTTGCCTGCCTGGGACCAGAAAAGTCCTCACACTCAGCAAAAAGACATGGGAAAAGCAACGTGTGTGGAACCCGGAGCTGCCACCCACTACCCTGCCCTGGTTCAGCCCAACCTGCCACCTCATGCATGGCCACCACCACCCTGGAGGGAGGGAGGGAGGGCAGGGGGGGCCCTGCTTGACCGAGCGTTTTAACGCTCAGATATGAGTCTGCTCAGTTTGGGATGGAAGTGGGTGCCAAGGGGATGGGAAGGGGTGCTGCCCTCGCTGGCCACACAGACCTGCCACCCATCCCGGCAGGAGGAGGATTCCTGCCCGGCCTGTCGACGGGGGACACAAACGAGTCATTCAGCGTCGCCTTCAATTAACAGGAGCCGCAAATGAGGTTGGTCACGTGCCGAACTTGTGATTCACAGCACTGAGCCCGAGGGAGTGGTGAAGGGCTCCGGCTCCACCGCGCGGATCCTGTGGGAGCAGAGCCCGGGGCAGCCAAAGAAATCCCGGGACTGTGTGTGTGTGTGTCCCTGGGGAGGTACAAGTGTCAGAGCTCCAGCCCCACTTCCCTTCTGTGCCACCAGCCCCCTGTGAAGGATCCTACGTGCCTCAAGGGACAGCAGGGACACATCCACGTGTCTGTGGTTGACACGGCACATGAGCCATGGTGACCCCAGCACCCTCCATGTCCCTGTCCAGCACCCTCAGTGTCACCTGCAGGTGGTCCTGGCAGGGCCGTGGCAGCGCTGGCTTTTGGCTCCCGGAGTGCTGGACTTGGCAGGCACTGGCACAGGGAGGGCTGTGCTTGTCTTGCCAAGCACTGGTCCTGGCAGAGTGCGGGGAGCCAGGTATGGGGGTGCCAGGAGCACCAGGCACCTACTGCCCCCTGGGCACCTCCTGCCTCAGTGTCCAATGTGGGCCTCGTGGAAGAGAGATTGGGATGCAGGAGAGGGAGTGAGGGATTCAAATGCAGATGATGATTCCCCACAGATGATTCCTTGCCAGGAGCAGTACTCAGCCTGGAGAAACCAGAGCATGGAGGAACCTCCACCCCAGGGAACAGGTGGGACATGGCAACAGCCTCACCTGCCTAACTCCAGCCTGCCCTCCCTGCCCATGTGCTGTCCAGCCAGGGCTCAGCCACCGCTGTCCCTCCTGGCCACAGCACGCAGGAAGGAAACAGGATTTGTCCCAGCTTGCAGAGACCACACAGGATGAACACAGCTCCCATGGGGTCAGGTTTTCCCAGACAGAAGCATTTACCCAGCATTAAATCACTCGTCATGTGTGCTGGGGAATATGTCCTCACCTCCTCCTGGCTGCCACACACAGGTTCAGTCACCACCAGCCAGCGGCTGTGCCGGAAAGCCATGGCTGGGACCTCCTGGAGCTGGCCCTGGCACAGGGCTCTGGCTGAGGAGTGGGGTCCTGGAGCCAGACAGAAGCTGGCAAGGGCTGGGAGAGGGAGGCAGGGACAGGGCCCGACACAAGGTGCCCAGACCCACAACCACGGGAGAGGGTCAGGAGGGCAGCCACCCGCTCCCTCGCTTCCTGAGAGTCCCGTCCCGTGCGTGCTGCAGGTCCTGGGTGAGCAGAGAGGCTCTTTGCTGCCGCTGGAGCCAGGAGCCATGTCCAACCCTTCAGAAAACCCAGCCTCAGCCCAGCCCCCCGATCCCAGCCTCTTCCCTGGAATGCAGAGCCCCCCGGACAGAGCCCCCAGACAAAGTGTTTACTGTACGAGCTGTGCATTAACCGCTTCCCGGCCGCCGGGAACGCTCCCCGGCACCCGCTCAGCCCCGGGGCCACAGCCACGGCCGGGGGCACCTGCTCCCTATGGCCCTGCCCCCAGGTAGGCATTTAATTCCCTTCTGCTGATCCATCAGAGGCTAGGGTGCCCTCGCTGTGCGGGAGTGATGGAGCCTGCAGCCCCCAGCCCCACACTCCCACTGGCTCTAGGCTGCTGGAGTGGGTCAGAGACCCACAACTGGATGTCCCACCAGACCGAGCAATGTGCTGTGGGTGTCCTGCCCGCATCCCACCGGGCTGTCCTGGACACGGGGGTTCCTAGTGCCCTCTTGCCCATCCTGCCACCTGTGACACCACCGGCCATCACGGTGCCCGGTGGGTGACCCGGCTCCCACGGCCACCCACCCATCCCCAGCCAGGCCAAAACACCGCGGGAAGGAAGGGAAAAAATGCAAGTCTGTTTCCTAAAGGCTCTGGGAAAAAATGTTGCATTACACGGGGCACAGCCAAAACCAACAGGGCTTGGCAGCGTGGCGCAGCCCCGGGCCAGGGAGCCCAGACAGCTCCTGCAGGATGTGGGATGAGGACAGACAGGCAGGGCAGGGGGGCTCTGCAATGGACCCCATGCCAAGCACTCTGGGAGAGCTCCTGTCCCTGCAGGGGGGCAGTTGGAGGGGCCCATCCACAAAGGGCACTTCTCACGCTGGGGATACTGGCAGAGCTGCCATGGACTAGCCATGCAAGGAGGGAATGGAGCTGGGATCCAGCCCTCACGGTGGATAGGGACAGACACTGCTCTAGTCCCTTCTGCCCCACAGGGAGCTCCAGGTCACTCTGTGTGGGGACCTAGGGCCAGGCGAACTCATGGATCACCCTGTAGCGGGATGCTGCTCCCCAGCTTCAGGAGACATGCTCCTGGTCACAGCCTACAGGATATGAAAGGGGGAGCATGGCATCCAGACCCACGGATGGACCAGGTCCCCACACTCATCCCCCAGGAGAGGCCCCACTCCCACAGTGCGACCTGCACAGCTCTGGGCTGGGCTCCCACTGTCGGCTCCAATCCTGGCCCCCAGACCCTGCCTGAGCACCAGGGGGATGGCAGGGGGCCACAATCAACACCTGCAAGGGGGTCCTGGGGCAGACAGTCATAGGCAGAAAGTACAGGAAGCAGCTCCTTCAGCCCAGCCCTGCCTGCACCCCACCGTCCTGCCCGGACAGACACAGCTCCCGGCAGAGCGCGGCACAGCGCCCGGCCGGACCTGCCTGCGAGGGAAGCAGGTGCCCCGCGGCCTCTTTCCTGTTTCCTCCCGGCAGTGCAGGCAGAGCTCTCAGCAGCATCCCAGGGAAGGGGCAGCGCAGGGGCCTCTGTGCAACAGGAGCTTCCCCAGCAGCTGGGACGTGTCCCCAGGGGCCGCGGGTGCCTGCAGGACTCCAGACTGCCCCTCGGTCCAGGGGCACGTTGCAGCCAGGGGGGCAGAGCAAGTGGTTCCCCACTCCAGCACGTGTGGTGCCACTTGATCGTGGCACTGCTGTGTCCACAGTGGGTAAGGATGGCACAAACGTCAGCCACGTGTACCAGGGCTCCTGCAGCTCTGCTCCCTCCCTGGGACACGCTCCCTGCATTCCCATCCCTGGGCTGTCCCGTCCCATCCTGCCTCTTAGGGTCATGGAATGGTTTGCGTTGGAAGAGACTTTAAAGACCAACTACTAGACCAGGTTGCTCCAAGCCCCGTCCTGCCTGGCTTTGAACACTTCCAGGGATGAGACATCCAGAAATACTCTGGGCAACCTGTGCCAGTGCCTCTCCACCCTCACAGGGAAGAATTTCTTCCTATCATCTAATTTAAATCTCCCCTATTTAGTTTAAAACCCTTCCCTTTGCCCTGCAACAACCTACCCATGTAAAAGTCACTCTTCATCATTTTTACAAGCTCCAAGTGTGGAAAGGTCCTTGACGAGCCCCGTCCCGCAGCCCCGGCTCTCGTCGAGTGATCAGGGAGCGAACTGGTGCCAACAGGGGGTTGTGCCACTACCATTGTCAGGGAAAAGGACCCCCGGGCACCCACCCCGGGTACCCACCCCGGGCACCCACCCACGGCCGCCACTCCGCCGCCTCACCTGGGGGGTGGAGGCTCTCCTGGATGGCCTCGACGTCGGCCAGGTCGGTGCAGATGCCCTGGCCGTGCATGAGGGTGCGGAGGGGCCGTGGCTCTCCGCGGGGCGGGTAGCAGCGCAGCCCCGCTCCGCAGCGCGCGGTGTACACGCCGCAGGGGGTGCCGCGGGGCAGCGCGCAGGTCGCGCAGCACCCGCAGCCCGGCTCCCGCACCAGCTCCGCGCAGCCTTGCGGCGCCTTGCACCGCGCCAGCCGCTCCTCCGAGCACGGCGGGCACTGGATCGCCTCCTCGCCGCCGCCCGGCCGCGCCGCCGCCGCCAGCAGCGCCAGCACCACCGGCAGCACCGGCAGCGCCGGCAGCCCCGGCCCCGGGCGCATGGCGGCCCCGCTCCGGCCCCGCTCCGCGGCGCTCGGCTGGCGGCGGGCGCGGGGCGGCGGCGGCCGCTTTATGCGGCTTTATGCGGCCCCTGGCCACACCTCCCGCCGCCGCCACCGGGGCCACCGGCGGGGCCGCCCCCGCCGCCACCGGGGACCCACCGGGCAGCGACGCTCCCCCCGGCGGCGGCCGCACCGGCACCGGCACCGGCGGCGGCTTCAGCAGCGGGGCCACCGGCGGGGCGGCTCCGGCGCCGGGCAGAGCGGAGAGCCGGCCTGGAGCCCTCCCGGCCCCGCGCCTCTTCGCAGACCACCGGCCGCCCCGACACCCTGCTCGGTCCCGAGAGCAACTGGGATAAACTGGGGACACACACACACCGTGCGGGGCTGCACCGCGGGGGATGCGGGCAAGAACCCCGAGGTGGGCTCCGGACGCGGGGGGCCCCGGCGGGACCAAAAGCGTTGCTGGCAACGGAGCATCCCGGGCGGTTCGGCCCCCGTCTGTACGGGACGGCCCCGCCGGGTCCCCGCGCCCACCTGCCCCCGGTTCCCGCACCCGCGGCCCCGCGGCCCCCGCCCCGCACAGTCCGAGATAGGTTGAAGGCTGCCGGCACCTAGTGGCTACTCGGGAAAAGCGGGAGCGGGCGGGACCCCAGGGAGCCCCGCCATCCCTCCGGGACCCCGGTCCCGCCAGTCCCCGCAGCACCGGGCGGGGGCGGCACGGCGGGAGGCCGGGAGATGGCGGGGAGCGGTCCCTGTGCCCTGGGGGGAGGTCCCCGAGCTGATGACCTTCGAGCTGCGCCCTGGGGCATCTGAGCCAGCACCGGGCTTGGGGCAGCCGGGGGAACCCGTCTGGGTGCGGCAAGGGGGTCGTGGGCACTGCAGGGAGGTCTTGGACATGGCGGGGGTGGCCCTGTGGGGCCCTGGTGTGGGGATCAGTGTAGTGGGTGGGATAAGAGGAGCAGAGCCGCCTAGAATGCAGGGCCTGGGCTGAGAACCCCCAACTTGTGTCACGGGTGAGCACATCTAATGCTCAAACTGGTATTTTGAGGCTTGAGTGCCAGCACGGGTGGCACTGGTGGCACTGCCACAGGTGCTCTCAGGACAACCTTCTCTCTCCTGTGCGGGTGAGCTGGACAGCGCTAAGGGCAGGCAGGACAGGAACAGGCAGGTTCTCTGTCCCCCACTCTCCCCAGCCCCCCTTCTCCCCTCTCAGCCCCAGCAGGGGCCCCATAAGGCATCCTCACATGGTGCTGCTCTGAGCCCCTGCCCTGCCTGGCACTGTGGCCATGACTCAGGGCAGAGGCACCAGCCTTGACTCGGTGTCCCAGTAGGGACCAAACCCAAACAGGTGCCCGGCCCCGCTCAGGCTGCAGCACCTTATCAGGCCTTGGCAGTGCCGCGCGCCTGCTGGGGAGTCTGTTGTGTCTGCGGACAGAGGCAGCGCCAGCGGCCCCTCCTCTGCCCAGGCACTGCTCCTCCAGGTCCCTGCCCCAGCACCATCCTGTGAGATGGAGCGGGGCTGGGCTGGTGCCCCCCACAGCCGTGCTGCCCCCACCCCAACCACAGCCCTGTGGCCACAGCGGGGGCTCAGTGCTGGTGTTTGGTGCTTGGTGCAGCCCAGCTCCCTGCCTGTGACGGGACAGCCCTGTGCCCCCAGCCCCGGTGCTCAGCACCTGCCGGATGTGGTCCGTGGGGTGTGGGTGCCGGGGCGGGCAAGGGGCGTGTCAGGGGCCGCTGTGATAACTGCGGGCGCTGTGTGGGGCTGCGGGCACAGACGGAGCAGGGAGCGGGATGAGCCAAGGACCCCCATCCTGGGCAGCAGCCGGGCCCAGAGGCAGCACCATGGGGTCCGGCAGCGCCTGGGGCCTCCTCCGCACCCTCTGCATCCTCCTGGTGCTGGCCGGGCGCCTGTGCCCTGCCACGGCCCAGTGGTTTTACCTGGGCTCGGAGGACACCACCCTGGATCCTGGCACCAGCCTCACCACCCCCACCCTGGATGGAGAGGAAGGTAGGCAGGGTGTGATGGGGGCAGCACCCCAAATTCCTGCACCCCAGCATGGAGGGGGCACTCGGAGGGTGGAGGGCGAGGTGTGGGGTGCTGGGGTCTGGGGCTGCTGATGGCACTGCTGTGGCCATGGCAGGTGCTGGGAACTGGGAGTGCTGTGCCACCCCAGCCCCTCTCCAGCCTTGCCACCTTTTGCCCCATCACCTCTTTGCTCCTGCAGATGCAGAGACCAGCATGGAACCCACGGGGAAGGTGCTGCTGAGCAAACCCCCTCTGGCAAAGGTCCCCAGACGCCGGGACCACCTCACCAGGGGAACAGCAAAAGGACCAGGCCATGCCCCACCACGCACACGAGGCCAGGTGCCTTTCTCTGGGCAGTATCTCCCTTCCAGCTCCTCCAGCCCTCCAAAAACTCCCCAGCTGCTGCTGGGCACCTTGCCATGTCCTTCCCCTTATCCGTGCCCTGCCTGCACACACCAGCCTGGGCACTGTGCCTTGCTCTGGCCCTGAGAGTGACTCCCCTTGGAAAGGAGCCACAGCAGCTCCCGGTGTCCCCCACATGGCACAGCCCCACGACAGTGCTGGGGCTGGGCCCCCACCCTGGGCTGGAGGCAGCCACGACTGCGGGAGGGTCCCACCTGCCTCTCGGGACCCCCCGAACCCCACACTGAGCACTCCCTGTCCACCCCAGCAGCACCGACCCACAGCCACCCCAGAGATCTTCGAGGGGAGCGCGGTGGAAGAGGAGTTCCTGCAGATCCAGGTGGTGGAGGGGTCCTGGTCCCCAGGGGGATGAGAGGGGCAGCCTGGGATGGGCACCCTGGCAAGTGGGAGGGACTGGCAGGGAGGGACAGGGATGGTGCTCAGAGGTCTCACACTCAGCCCTTCCTCTCCTCCACACAGACGACAACGAAGGGGCTGCCCCGGGGGGTGCCCCCAGCCCCGGAGATGGACCCTGCCCTCCAGGTGAGGGGTGGGCACAGGGCACCCCTGTTGGACCCAACAGTCAGGTTCAGGTTCCTCAGCCCACCTCTCTCTCCCTCTCCAGGTGCACAACGGCTCTGACTGTGTCTGCCCCGTGCACCCCGGCCCTCCCGGCCGTGCCGGCCCTCCCGGCCCAAAGGTGGGGTGGTCCTTCCCAGGGAGGGGCAGGGGTGTGCGGGGGCCCACAGAGACACGCTGCAAGATGCTCTTTTGTCTATGCAAAACTCTTTTTGCTCAGGATTTGGCTTTGGGGTCTGAGTTGGGGGGTGACTCAGGTGGCCACGGGCGGGGGGGTGCAGGTCTCCCTGGTGGGCTCTAGTGGAGGGAAGTGCCAGGAGCCCAGAGCCAGGATCTGTCTTTCCTCAACAGGGAGAGAAAGGTGACCGTGGGTTCCCCGGAGAGAGAGGCCAGCCCGGAATTTCAGGAGACAGAGGGAAGTCTGGCAGCCCAGGACAGCCAGGTCACCAGGGTCCCCGGGGGCCCCCGGGTCCTCCGGGGCCCCCGGGACCCCCGGGACCCCCAGGCACCTGGGGAGCCAGGAGCCTACCCGCGCCTGCCGCCCTCCCCGAGGGACTGGAGAACGAGGTGAGCGCCGGGGCGGGGACACGGGCGGGTGATGCCGGTGCCGCCCGCGGTGTCGTTCCCGGCGGGACCGGCGGGGACAGGGAGGGCTGGGGGACGCGGTCGTGCGGGTGGGCAGCCCAGGGGAGGGGGCCAGGGCATGGGACACGGCGGTTCACTGACCCTGCTCTCTCCTCTCCCTCCAACCTGACGAGCAGCTGGGACCCTCCAGCCCTGTGGGAAACCCGGGACCCCCAGGCCCCCCTGGGCTGCCCGGCATGCCCGGACCCCCAGGCTACCCAGGCCATGATGGCCCCCCGGGGGTCCCTGGGCGGGAGGGAAAGCCGGGACCCCCCGGCCCTCCAGGGGCTGTGGGACCACCCGGTTTCCCCGGGGCTGAAGGAACTCCAGGGTCTCCAGGCTCGGCTGGGCCAGACGGACCCCCGGGGGCACCAGGGCTCCCAGGGCCTCAGGGTCCCCCCGGGGTGCCAGGGCACGAAGGACCCCCCGGTCCCACAGGACCTGCATCACTCCCTGGCAAACCAGGGCTCCGAGGGGAGCCAGGATTCCCAGGACTAAAGGTAAGGGCATCCCAGCCCAGCCCATCCATGGCCCTGGGGTGGGACAGGGCACCCAGGCTCACCGGGCCCTTACCCTGCCCCAGGGGAGCAGTCCCCAGCACTGAGCCCTCGGAGGGCTCTGGGGCAGCCCCAGCCCTGCCGCTGTGGGGCCTGGGGGCAAACGGGGGCTCAGCCCCCACGCTCAACACTTTGTACCGTGTGCCCATAGGGAGAGAAGGGTGAATATGGACTGCCAGGCATGCCGGGAAGCCCTGGCCGGACCGGAGAGACAGGGCCCCCAGGCATGCCCGGTCCCATGGGGCCTCCAGGACCACCGGGGGACTACAGGGTGAGTAGGGGGTCCTGGGCTGCAGGTGCTGGGGTGGAGGCACCCCACACTCATCCCAATGTCCTCTCCTTGCAGTGTGACTTGCGCCATGGAGGGCACCGTGGATTGGCCGGGGCACCGGGCCCCAAGGTGAGCTGGGCAGTGGGCACTGCGGGCAGGGGTCCTGGCAGGGGGTGAGCTGGGCAGTGGGCACTGCGGGCAGGGGTCCTGGCAGGGGGTGAGCTGGGCAGTGGGCACTGCAGGCAGGGGTCCTGGCAGTGGGCAGGTGGTACCCTGGGGCATGAGGCACAGTACGGTGAGGGGGGCTGGGGGGCCAGGGGACCCCCAGAGCCAGGTGCTGACACGATCTCTTATTTTCCTTCCAGGGAGAAAAGGGTGACCCTGGAGAGCCGGTTTGTAGCCATGAGCAGTGGCAGGGGGAGAACTGGCTGGGGGGGTGTCCCCACCCCCACACCTGAGTGTGCATCCCTGAGTCCCCTGTGCTGCCTCTGCTCCCCCAGCACCCTTTTCCTCATCCTAGAGGCAGCACCAGAGACCCCAAATGGGCTGAGGCGCAGGGTGGGGGG